AATCTAGTTTTCCAATTAACATTGATACAGATTCTTTTTATTGCGCATTTGAACCTTAGGTGTATTTAGTATAGTCTTATCACGAGCTGAGATTTTAAATTTATTCTGCGAGTCACTTATCCTTCAATTTTTTCTAGGAGAGTGCTTACATTCATAAATCATTGGGGTAATTGCTATGACGGACAGAGAATAGAAACATTCGAGAAAATAACTACCTTTAGTAAAGAAGTTTTGGCCTTGTTCTCGCAACTTGGTCATATTGATAGGACGATCTAGAAGAATGCACCTAGTCCGGAGTCCATTGTATGCATGCTAATTTCCAGAGACAGACCGTGGAGATGGTATCTTCCCAGACGTTTCGCCGGCATCGTCAGTGAGCCTTGCCATTCTTAGCATCACAATACAACTAGTCAAAGATCCAAGTAAAGCCTTTGACCAATTGAACAATCGTGGTATCTTTATTTCTCTCCTATGCTAATCCACAATCCTATGTCCTCGTATCGTGCTTTCACTATCACAATTTTTATTTGCTTATTTAAATGTGGTATAGTTTGCCCTCTTGAGCGGTTTTCATTAGAGCTCTCCACACTCCAGGCTGGCTTTCTCCTTTATCCTCCTTCACCCTTGTACTGGGTCTGTTGATCAGATTATGTCCTATTGTTACGCAGTATTCTTTCCATAGACCTTATCAGAGTCTCCTTCTTGCCCGTAGGATCTTTCTATCCCTGGTACTGCTTGCTTTTATTAGGTTCAACGTTGAACCACAACATTTGTGGGTGGAATACAAGAGACTAGGGCATAGGAAGTCATAGACTTGGTATTAGGGATAGAAACAAGATAGACGCGGAAGTCTAAAAAAAATAATGTGGTTCTAATAATGTCAAGACTCACTTCCTAGCTTTTGTAGGGTTTGGAACTTACTCTTAATAGTATATTTTCATTTAATTCTGTTCTTTTTAGAATACATACTACCTTAATGTTTCTTCAGCTGTAAGATTTTGGCATATCACTACTCATTGCGAGTTAAATCGAACAAAAATTGATAGTGACGTCACTTATAAATTATAACTTTAATCGGTCGATCGACCGAATTACTATAAAGCCTGATTTTGTCATAATTTAGCCTTCAGCAGATTTACTCTGAGTGCTACCAGGGCACATGACGAAAATTCGTTACGTTTTTCCTCGAATTTAAATATTCATATGAATATTAGCTAACTTTTCTGTCATCCTGAGCAAAGGAAATTATTCTTTATTTTTATTACTTAGATTGTTCATAAATGCAGGGATAAAGCCTTATTTTAACCTTTCTAATATTTCTTATTGTTGTCTTACTCCATTTCTGGACAGGCTTGTTATAAATTATATACTAGCCTTTTCCCAGACAGCTCTTCTTCAGGCTCTATCATAGGATCTGGACTATCTTTCTGTTCGCCCTCTGATCCTGTAATCTCTGCCGATTTTCCTGAACATGATATATCATCAGGCCAAACATCGATAGTAACTTTGGCTCGAGCTTGGCAACAGTTCTTGCTTGTGAGCCGGCAAGCACCAGGGGTGACGTGCTCGGCCAGCGTTTCCGGAGCTAGTCACAGGCCTCCGGGTCGCCATCCTCATCAACTTCATCTTGATTCGGCGCCAATTTGCTCGATGTTCTGGCCAGGTTCGGAGCGCACCCTCGGCGTAGAAACCGTATCAGCAATAGATAGTGCGCCTACTTGCCAATCAGGGGGGGCTGGTCGGCTTGCCGGAATGGCGGAGATAGCAGCAGCTGATGTAATGTCACAGCTTTCTGAGTTGCGTTGTAGGAAAGCGATGGTTTTGGCAGAGAGTCATTACAAGCAGGATCTGCCACTCCATTACTCTCGAACATACCATTTAGTCAAGGTAATTATTTCCATCGACTTTGTTCATATCCCATTAACAGAAAACATATATTACTCGCTATCACTGTTATAAATATTTGAGATAGTTTTTTCCCGAGTAATTGACGCGTTATTTGAGTCCGCTATAAACCAATTATAATTACTGTTAGTTTGACCTCGTTTTCGAAACATGGTAGGAGCGACAGGAAGATCTTGTGGAACGTACTTACTCCTGCCTCTGTCTTAGTATTCATGCTACCTTCCAGTCCATTACTAAACGTTTCGCCGGCGTCGTCAGCGAGAGGAGCCATCCTTAGCGCAGCTACAACTGATCAAAGTGATAAGTGCTAAAGATTGTGCCTCTCACTGACAATGTCGGCGAAATGTCATCTGAGCTGGAACTAATTCTTGTAGAAGTTTCAAGTTGACACTAGGGCAAGAAGACTATCCGGCTCTATCTTACCTTTTATATAGGCTCAATTAAGCAAAACAAAATTAAAAAAACTTAGATATAGAGTGGTTTTGCCAATTATCTTTCATACTGTGTGTGTTTGTGTTGACGTAAATACACAATACCAGTCCAAAATCAGAGTTATCAAAAGACTAATGTAGGGTTCTGATTTTCAAGGCCTAATGACCCAAGAGAAAGCCCTTATCGAGACTGCGTAAGTCCGTAAGCAAGTATGA